GAGGAAGGTGCTGTGTGTGAAGTGTTCTCCATGAGCCCGTGGTGTGAAGAGGAAGGTGCTGTGTGTGAAGTGTTCTCCATGAGCCCGTGGTGTGAAGAGGAAGGTGCTGTGTGTGAAGAGTGTTCTCCATGAGCTTGTGGTGTGGTGAGGAAGGTGCTGTGTGTGAAGAATGTTCTCCATGAGCCCGTGGTGTGAAGAGGAAGGTGCTGTGTGTGAAGAGTGTTCTCCCTGAGCCTGTGGTGTGGTGAGGAAGGTGCTGTGTGTGAAGTGTGTTCTCCACTTGGCTTCCTTCTGTGTCACTAGGCTACAGACCCGCTGGCTATGTTGAAGTGTCTGTGCCTTTTAGGATCGGGCAAGTGCTGCTGTCGATAAAACCCGTCTTGGGAGAAAAACATCCACAAATCTAAAAACTCCTTCTCTTCCCTCCCTACTCAGATTTTGCCTAAAAATCAGAACAAGCAAAAAGGCATTCTCTACACTGTGAATAAGGTCATTTGCTGGTGCTTCCTGATGCTCCCTAGACCAGGGGCCACTCAGCACTTAAGGTGCCAGATGTCTCCGCAGATGCCCTGAGGAGCTTTTTTCTGGGACTAGGTCCTTGGGAACTCATGCTAAGGGCCCGCATCTGAGCTGCATGGCGGCCCAAGGGCAGATCACATCCCACATCCCTTCCTAGGGCCAGGCCTATCCATGCCCAGCACTGAGCTCAGCAGTCCGGCTGCTGCATCACACACATCTACCCACTGTTCTCTCACTTGTTTCAGGGTCCACCGGGCCCCGCAGGCCCTGAAGGCAGACAGGGAGAAAAAGGAGCCAAGGTAACATTCATTTCGGTCAGGCCATGCCTGTGCACGGGCCTTCCGGAGGGGGCAGTGGGTAGGAAGTGGGCAATGTGTGGCCAGAGGAGGCCAGAGGTTGAGTGTGGTCTCGGGGCCCTGGCTCCTGGCTACCCTCTGCAGGAGAGCCCGTTCTCTCTAGAGGAGGCAGCAGGTGGTGGCCCAGGCACTGGGGTCTGATCCTGGCACCACAGTCCATCCTTTGGTCAGCCTGAGGTGGGGTGGGGGGTGCTGCAGGAGGGGAGGGTGGGGGCTGCAGGAGTCAGAAGCCCGGTGCTGAGTCCCACTGTGCCAAAGTGCCAGCCATACTGTGACTGCCCACCCTGAAATGGGAGGCCAAGAGAAAGATGGGGTGCCACTGCCCATGCAGTTAGTACAGGGCCTGGTCCGCTGACGTGCAGGAGCCCATCCTTCCAGTGAGGTGACTGGCAGGCCCAGGATGGCACCATGACCTCTTTTCTGGGGATGTCTTTCATTAAATGACATAGTGGTGGGGGTCTCCAGGCTCCCAGGCTGCTGGGGACATGGTGGCTGTGCCCACTGTGGTGGTGGTTGACATGGTCAGTGGAGGCTGGATGGACTATTGGCTGAGAAAGTTAGCATGATGGGGTGTTGGCCAGGGCAGCTTCCATAGGAGTGTGGAGAGTTGGGGTGGTGCCCGGAAATCTGGGCACCCCTGGGGTTTCCCCAAAGGCACAAGGGTTTCCGAGAAGTGGTAGTGAGCCCTAGATCTCACTTTCCTCGATGCCCTGCAGGGAGAAGCCGGCTTGGAAGGCCCTCCTGGGAAGACTGGCCCCATTGGCCCCCAGGGGGCCCCTGGCAAGCCTGGGCCGGATGGCTTGCGAGGGATCCCAGGCCCTGTGGTAAGTGGTCTGCGCAGGCCTGGGAGGGGTGCAGGGGCTGCTCAGGGGAGGGGTGTGGGCCTGGGCATTCACACGAGGGTCTCTGTCTTTCAGGGTGAACAAGGTCTCCCCGGGTCCCCTGGCCCGGACGGTCCCCCCGGTCCCTTGGTGAGTGAGATTCCCCAGGGCAGTGAGGGTGGGTTAGCCACATGAAACTTCTGGGATGAGGACTCTGACCCCTCTTCTTCCTCCCACAGGGTCCCCCAGGACTCCCTGGCCTCAAAGGAGACTCTGGTCCCAAAGGTGAAAAGGTAAAGGGACCTCAGGGGCCCCTTCCAGTACCCTCAGGTTCCAACTCAGTGAGCCGTCGATCTGCTCCCTGAATTGCCGAGGGCTGCCGGGAGGTGCTGGTGGAGCCTGGGAGGCAGTAAACAGGAGGGAATCTGCACACGGCTTTGAGGCTCCGTTCCTGCCTTCAGGGAGGCCCTGGGAACTTTGGGGGATCCCCACGGCCCCCAAGAACTGATGGAGAACCCTTTTGCTGGGTGCTGAGGTCCCGACCATAGGAGCAGATGCTGGCCCTGGGCATGGTGGCCTCAGGCCTGGCAGCAGGGGAAGCCTCTTTCACTCTGCAATCGGTGCTGATTTTTCACAGCTTACATTGACTTATTGACCCACATGACGTCTCACAAGCCTAACAGTTGTACATAAAGAAGGTACCAAGGATGCTCTTCTCCACTCTGATGCCTGCTGTCACTCACCACCAAGCCCCAAAGCAATGAAAGCTGGGGGAACCCTTCCAGAGCCTTCTGGGGGCTCATAGAAACAGAGAAAAATATAAACAGACACGATGAGCATATGCCACCGAGTTCTCTTTTTAAATGATTATGGTCCCTGACTCTCTGTGGCCTGCTTTCTGTGTCAGTCCACAAATTTTTAGTTCTTTATAAGAACAGGGGTACATATTTACCAGACAAATTGGAAAGAGCGTGTAAGTAGAAAGACAAACATAAAAATTACCATCCAGAAGAGCCTGCCACCCCCGGTGCGCCTGTCTGCTTCAGGCGTGCCTCTTGCCGTAGTCTGTTCCCTGACCTGCCTGTTGAGTTTCCTCCCTGCCCCTCCAGGAGCTGCTCACCAGTGGCTCTGCAGCTTCCATGGCATGGCTGTGCCGCCCCCTGTGCCCACCAGCCGACCATGGTCAGGTGTGGGTGAACGCCCCTTCATGTCTTTGCTTTTCAACAGGGTCATCCCGGCCTCATCGGGCTCATCGGACCACCGGGTGAACAGGGTGAGAAGGGTGACCGTGGCCTCCCAGGCCCCCAGGGCTCAGCTGGCCCTAAAGGAGAACAGGTGTGTGAGATGGCGCTCTGGCCCACGGGCTGGCAAGAAGCATCTTAGAACCCCACAGGGCCCCCCTAAAACCCCGGAGGGGTTCTCTAGTGCCCAGAGGACCTGAGGCAGGTTAGAACCTGGAAGGGAATCCTCATGTCTGGCAAATCGAGGCACCCTACCTACTTTGCATACAGGGACAGGTACGGGGCTGGGCTCGCCCAGGGCACCCAGGAGCTGCCCTGACCAGCAGGCAGGTACTCCCTTCTTGTTGCAGTGGTGGCCCCTGAGCTGAGGAGACAGAAGTCAGATCACTGCACTTGTCTCCCCGGTCTGAGTAAGAAAGAGCCTTCCAACTTACCAATTGCCAGGAAGTCACAGTGACTGTCAGTGGTGTGCTGTGGTGTTAGGTGGCAGTGACTCTCTATTCGTCCCCTTCCTCCTACCTCCCTCCACGTCCACACAGCTGACTCTCGACTTTTCTGGAAGCTGCTATAGCTGTTTGGAATTTTCAGCCTCAGCAACCACAGCCAGTGAAACCCTAGCCAGAGAGTTTCACCCTGACCTGCAGCTAGTAGCCATGGGAAAGGTGGCATGTAACCTGGAGGCAGGAGAGGGGATGAGGTGACACACTGTGTCTCGCCCTTCTCCCCGGACGGCCATGTGACCTCATCCAGTATGGGAATCGCCACATCCCCAGAAGGTGTGCAAAGCACACATGCGCCTCGTAAGCTGCGCCACGTCTGCCCAGCCGGGAGGACGTCAGGATGCAGGGGACAGAGCAGGAGCACGCAGAGTCCCTGGGGCTGGGAGTAAAGTAGAACCCCACCCCCCCCTTGGGCCCCATGGTGGTTGCAGGGTGGTGTTAGAGGATGGAACTTTCTGGAAAGTCTGCTATTGGCCATCGTCCTCCTGGGCCATCAGTGATATCCCACTGGCCAGTGTCCCCACCACAGCATCACCCTCAGAGGAGTGCTGCCCAGGGTATGGTGGCCCACCACCCTGAGTGTCAGGAATTCGGGATCCCCACAGCTGTAGGGAGGGCACCTCTCTGTGTCCACCCTCCTCACTCAGTCACCCTCAGCCCTGCCCATGGTCTTGGCAGCACTGCTACTGTGGGCAGATGCTGACTCATGTGTAGACTTGACACCCTGTGGGATTCTGAGTGACCTGAAGCCGGAGCCCCTGCCCAAGGACATGGGAGGAAAGTGTGCCCTCCCCAGGTGACATCTGGCTGCCAGCCTTCTACCACTCTTGCTGGTGGCTTCAGTCCTGGCGACAGTCCTTGTGGAATGTGGGCCTCTGAGCACAGGGCCCTTGGTGCCCTTCGGCTGCAGAGGCAGCACTGGCCAAGCAGGCAGAAGCCACCGTACACCCCAGCCCTGCCTGAGCTCTGCGGGGCCCCACCGGTCGGGTGGTTGGGGTTCTGAGCAGCAACAGTGCACTCTGAGGAGTGAAAAGCGTGTTTAGAGGCTGGGCAGCACAGACAGGAAGGAAAGACTCAAGGACTCTCACTGCTCACCCAGGCTTGTGTTAGTGGGGAGAACAACTCCAGAACACAGACATAGGGGACTGAGCCAGGGCCGAGGCACTGAGGGATTGGTTCTGTAATTCAAATACAGTGTGAAAAGGGAAGTCTCAACCCAGGGTCAGCTCCCGGGGGCCCTGCAGAGTTCTAGCCTGGATGAGGGGCTGGGGGCTGTCAGCCTTGGGAGGATGCTCAGGCCAGCCTGGGCTGAACAGCTCCCCGGACAGTGCTCTGGCCCCAGCGCTGTAGAACAGCTCAGACCCAGATCCAGATGGAGCCAAGAGGCTGCCATAGGGACAAGATGGAGAGGGGACCCAGTGGTGAGCCTGTGCACAGCTCCTCGCCATCTGAGGGTGATGACCTGTATTCTCTGCTCCTTTTCAGGGTATCACTGGGCCTTCTGGCCCAATCGGGCCCCCTGGGCCCCCTGGCTTGCCGGTAAGTATTTGGGAGGGGTGTGGTGTTGCCCAGGTCATTTCTGGGAGGTCAGGCGCAGGGGTGAGCAATATCTGGGTCTCGGGGCGGGACTGGGCAATTACAGGACAGTCACTCAAGACAGCAGAATGGAGCCCAGAGTAGGTTTGCCCATTAACTCCATGCTGGGGTTTCAAGTGACAGGAGCAAAGGTGTGGGGTCACTGGACCCTGGTCTCTGGTGGGGGGAGGAGCCTCTATCTCTGGGCACTTCCAGGAATGAGGACACTGGTCTGTGGGCATTGGAGGGAAGGTGGGGCAGCAGCATCTGGCTCTCCAGGCCTCCTGATCCATAGGAGCAGACCGACCTGGCCCAGACTTGAGCAGCTTGGGTCTGCTCCTCTGATATCCAGGAGGCCCTGAGTCTACTTGCCCCTGCCCAGTCTGTACAGGCTGGGCCTTGGGAACTTGTGGCCCACAGGGGCCCGGCTGCACCTAGGACCCCCGTGGTCGTGTGCAGATGTACATTGTCCTCCCCTGTGAGACCAGGGTGAGCTCTTTGTCCTGTCCCTGAGTGGCTGCCTGAGCTGTGATTTCCCAGTTAGGAAGGGTGGTGGGCTGGCCTGCCTCAGGAATGGCAGCCCTGTGTCCCCCACCCCCCCACCCCCGCCCCCATGGGGTGAGCATCAGCCAAGCCCCGGCCTTCCTCCTGTCTCAGTCAGGCCAATGCAGACACAGACTCCCAGGGTAGGGGGGCACAGGCACCCAGGTATAGCTAGCCTAGGCTGGGTAGGAGGGTTATGGTGGGGCCCAGAGATGCGGGCCCACTCCCTGACCCTTAGTCTTCTGCTTTTACAGGGTCCTCCGGGTCCAAAAGGTGCTAAGGGCTCCTCGGTAAGTGCTGTGCTGCCCAGGCCCTGGCGGCAGGGGAGGGCAGTCCTGTGATCTGGTTCCTCCTATCCTTCTTAGCTGCCCAGCACATCTCAGATGGAGGCATTGGCCTGCTTGCCTCCACCTTAGGAAGGACTCTGGCCCCTGAGGTCCCCTCTCAGGGCATCCAGGAGACTGAAGGGTTTTCTGCCACCCTCTGTGTGGACTGCCTCTGACACACAGGATTCTGGGGACCACTCCAGACCTAAGGGTGGAATCAAAGTCCCTTTAGCCTTTGTGACCACATGCTAGTTCTCTTCTCTTTCCCCAGGGTCCAACTGGCCCCAAGGGTGAGGCAGGCCACCCAGGACCCCCTGGCCCACCGGTAGGTATCCCTTGAAGAGCGGAAGGCTGGGTGGGGTATGGCAAGCTCTGCAGGGATTGCAGGACATATTTGTCTGTGGGGTCCCTCCTGAGACTTGATGGCGCCTGAGCTGTGTGCAGGAGGCTGTCCCTGGGGGCAGCAGGGAAAAGGAGTCACACAGGCCAACTTGCCCTGGAAGAACCATGGGGGCAGAGAGTGTGCACACGTGTGTGTGTGTACCAGGGGCCAGGGGCAGAGAGTGTGCATACGTGTGTGTGTGTACATGCCTGTGTATGAAGTGTGTGCATGTGTCTGTGTACAGGCATGTGGGGATGCACCAGATCAGGCCCCCGAGCACAGGATGCAGCTCAAGGTGATCCAGGGAGTGGTGAGAGCACCAGGGACAGACAGCCTCCATGGCCGTGCAGTCTGTGCCCATTGGGCCACCTGGAAGTGGGGTCCTGCATTAGCAGGCACTCGCTCAGCCCCCTGTGTCAGGCCCCAGCAGGCTGCAGGGCAAGAGAGGGTCCAGATGAGGACAGAATGGCAGACAGGGTGTGAGGCCACAAAGGCAGGAGAGTCTGGGCCTCAGGCTCCCAGGACATGACTTAGAGAGAGAGGTGGCCAAAGCAGACAGGAGCTGGCAGAGAGGAGGGGCGTGGAATGTTCCAGAGACAAGGACAAGAGAAGAAGCTGTGCTGGGTGGACAGATGTCTGTGCAGCCAGGTGCCCGGGTGGCCTCCAAGCCCCTGGGGACCCATCCTGTCCCTCCTACCCACTGCTCCTGTCTTGCACCCAGGGTCCCCCGGGCGAAGTCATCCAGCCCCTGCCAATCCAGGCATCCAGGACACGGCGGAACATCGACGCCAGCCAGCTGCTGGAGGATGGCAACGGCGAGAGCTACACAGACTACGCGGATGGCATGGAGGAGATCTTTGGCTCGCTCAACTCTCTGAAGCTGGAGATCGAGCAGATGAAGCGGCCTCTGGGCACGCAGCAGAACCCCGCCCGCACCTGCAAGGACCTGCAGCTCTGCCATCCCGACTTCCCCGATGGTGAGGCCTTGACGGACAAGGACAGAGGGCCAGGCAGGGGCAGGGGGAGGGACAGGCAGGTAGGAGGAGGGGGAGGCGGACTGATGGCCAGGCAGGGGGAGGAACAGGCAGGCACAGGGGCATGGCAGGGGTGAGCAATGGGGTCCCTGAAGGCAGGGAAAGAGGCCAAGGCTGAAGGGTCAGACAGGCTGGGTCCTGGTCTCATCTTAGCCATTAACGGGAAGGTAGCCTCCTTTGCCCCAGCCTCGTGTTCGGATCTGTCCAATGGAGTGAAAGCTCCCTGTGAGGGGACAGCGTCAGGAGACAGCCCCTGACATACTTTTGGCCGGCACATAGTAAACCCTGAGTCAGGGCTGTATCAGCATCGTGTGTGGACAGGCAGGCTCTAAACTCTGCTCACCGCCAAATCACAAACCATTCTCCTGGTTGCTGTCCTAAAGACCAGCCGCTGTCACAGGTGCATCTCATCAGCTTGTCTTCTCTTGGGGAAGTGTCTGTTTGTCCTGCAAAATTTGAGGGAGTCTGTAGTTCCAGTAGACTCAGGTTCTACCCACGTGAACTTCTAAGTTCATTCAGAGCATTCTCTGTATTTCTGTCCACCCAGAGAGTGAGCCGGGCCCCACTCTTTCTGACAATGAACACATGTCTCCAGAACGTGTTCCCAGGGTGCTTCACACCCACCTGGTGGATGAGTCTGTCCACATCTTTTTATGGGCCCAGCAGGAAAAGCAAAATGCAATAAAGCAAATCCCAGGAAGGCCCCGTGTTAGGGCCGTGTGGCCATGGCCATGTGTTTTAACTGCTGGCCTGGAATGTCGCAGCAGCTTCTAGAGCCATCCGGGGAACAATTCTCATGAGTCTGCCTCCCTGCCTCCCTCCCTCCCTGCTTCACCGTCCAGGTGAATACTGGGTGGATCCCAACCAAGGGTGCTCCAGGGATTCCTTCAAGGTGTACTGCAACTTCACAGCCGGAGGCTCCACGTGTGTCTTCCCGGACAAGAAGTCTGAGGGGGTGAGTACCTGTGTCCCCAGCAGAGTGTCCTTCTCATGGTGGGGCAGGCCGAGGGCTTCAGATGTTTCTCATGGACACAGCTTTAAGTCTAAAAACCAGAAATTGAACAGTTTTATAATTAAGAGTATTCTTCTAGAAGTAGGCTTAAGTTGTTTTAAGAAAAAAAATTTTAGCAATAAAATAGGTTTGTGCAGCCCAGGGTTGTGGAAGCCTGAGGGGTTTTCCACATGCCCCTTTAGGGCTCCCAGAGCTGGGTGTGAGCCCCAGGCCAGAGCCAACCCACGGCCTGTGGATGGGCCAGCCCCATTGTCCTGGGATTTGAGGTCAGGAAGTGTTGGGACTTCCTCCCGGACTCAGTGAGATACTCCCAAGCTCCTTTGAGAGAATTTGAGGACAAGTATAATGAAGTGACCCAAAGATGTCTTCTAGAACTCTAGAATTCTTAGTATCAGCTCTTTCCATGGGGTCTGTTCCAGTCCTTACCAAGTTCTTTATTTTCAGATCTAGCTGGTAAGGAACAGGCTTGAGGAGCTAGGTTCTGATTCATTGAGATTCTGTGGAATGTCACTTACGTAGCCCTTCCTGGGCCTCAGCTCTACAGTAGGAGTCTGTGTGGACAGCTGTGTGCACCTGGATGTGCAAGCAGGCAGGCATGCATGTGCATCTGAGGTGGGGACCATGTTGGCCCGGGACAGGGAGGAGGACAAAGTCCGTTCTCTAACTGGGAAGATGTCTAGGACTCCAGCCTTTGAGCCTGCATCAGCCTGAACAGACAGCAGTTCCTCCATAATGTCCCCCTCGGACAGCTCACTCATGTCACAGGACCCCAAACGAAGGCAGCTGTCTTATGCGCATGCAGGCCCAGTGTGTACATGCACCTGCATTCCACAGCTGCAGCCTCCCATGGGGCTCAGCGTCCCATAGGAGCTGTTCCCTGCAGGAGGGAGAGCAGCTAAGCTCTCCCCAGGGCCGACGGCCCTTTGCGCCCTAAATCACGCTAAACACAGTAAGCACCAGCAGCCTCTGGGGCTGGAGCCTGCTGGCAGCACACGGCACGCTGGCAGGGAGATTTGTGGCGTGTGTCCCCTCCCACCTTGACATCATAAACCCTCAACCTGCTTTCCTGGCAGCAGACCTCTTGCGCTGCAGAGAAGGGATTCAGATGTGAGGACTGGCTGCCTCAGTCCTTGTTCCTTGGGTCTGGCCAGAGGCCCAGGAGGGCGTTCAGTGAGAAAGGATGTTGTTTCCCATCCCTCTTTCATGGTCTGTCCTCTGCAAGTGGCCTGACTGCTGGGAATGGACGGGCCAAACTCCTGGGTACACAGAGGTTTCCCAGGGAGCCAAGCAGCTTCTCACAGCACGTGGTATGAGGCCTCTGGGTGAACTCACAGCTCCCCCTCTTCCTGCGAGGTGTCCAGGGGCTGGGCCCCTAGGCTCAGGCCACAGCTGCTCAGCTAAGAGCAAACAGACCCCTCTCCTGGGTGGCACTGGCCACAGGCATCCTTAGAATGGCAGGAGGGTCGCAGCAGAAGCTCACACTTGCCCCGTATCTGTCTTAGAAGGAAGCTGCCCTCTTGTCACCTGAACTTGGCATTGACAGTAGCAGTGTGGAAATGAGAGGGTGGGAGAGTTTGGGGTGGGGCAAGAAGCAGGATAGACACCCCTTTTCTTTCAATGGGTTCCCTTTTCTGGCTCTCCTGGCACAAGGCCCACTGGGAGAGAAACCTAGGGGTTGGTAAGGAGTTGACTCGTGGTTCCTCACTGTGGATGACTGAGGCCTGGGCCTGTGTGTTTTGTGAGCCGGGAACCAAGCCACAGCACAGCAGACTGGAAGTCCCTCTGCACAGGACTTTACCTGACTGCCGGGGTCTGGCAGACAAAGGGAGAGAAGGCACTGTAAAATTTATACACACACATACACACACGCATGCAGTGTTCTGACCCGTGAGAGACAATATGTGTCAGTCTCTTGTGAGGCTGACAGGTGCCTCCCCGTCTAGAATATTCAAGGCCTTTCTATTAGGGATTTGGGTGCGTGCACACACAAGGCAAAAACTGAGAAGGTAACAGTCTCGTATTTCAATTAAATAAAGTCTTTCGTTCAAGGAAGACAGTTACCAAGCTGAAGGACACTGGAGCACTAAATCAGAGATTAAACAACACCAGGGAAAGTTTAGGGAAGGTTGCAGCCCACAGGTCGGACAGCTGTGGCTCGGGGGTATTTGTCAGCTGTTTTCTAGCTTTATTTATAGCCTGTCTCTAAGCTGCTGATCTCTATCTAGACATTTCCCAGACTATTTTCTAATCTACTCTGCTGGACAGTCCAACACCCCCTTGCCACCTTAGGCGTACCTCACAGTGAGGGGCTGGGGCTTGGGGCCATCACCTACTTGAGTTCTTGGGGATTCCAGCCTAATCTAGCTTTCACCCACACCTGTCAGCCCGGGCTGGGGACAGGCTGCCCCCAGCTCCCTCTCTCCACACCTGCCACAGGTAAATCAACGGTGGCTGGGCCCTTGTTCCTGTGTGTGATGCCCCACAGGCCTCCACCCACTCACCACACCATGGTGGCCTGCCTGGCTGGACCTGTCCTGTGTCTATGTGGGACCTCCCAGGAAGGGGACAGAGGCTGTCCCTTTGTGGCTCAATTCCAGGAAGGCACTGGGGGAGTAAGCCCTGGGTCTCTTGTCAACAGGAGACGAGCTAGTGACTCGATAGAGGACTACAGCCCCCAGTCCCCAAAGAAGAACCCCCACCACACATACGCCACACACACACACACACACACAAAGCAGGCCACAAACCACACCACACACAGTACAAATGCACACACCACACACACATACACACAATGGGCTCGGCTCCTCAGGCTGTGAGGCTGGAAGGGGAGGATGCCCATGCATCCCTTGCCCATCAGGAAATGTTGGCTTTTATTACCTTTATCAGAGTCTTTAGGCTCCATCATTCATTCATTCATTCATTCATTCCCTCACTCACTCAACAAGCATTCCCAGCAATTGCTGGGTATTAGGCACTGTGCCCAAGGCCTGGTGGGCCTGAAACATTCAGCGTGTGACCCCTGCCTATGAATCCCTCTACCAGGTGCAGGCATCTGCTGCCACCTGGGGCTATTTTATCCTTATCCTCATCATGCCAGTCTGTCCTTGAGGTCTCCAGGGCAAATCAGAGCCCCTCAGTGAATCCTTTCTGCAGCCACGTCCTGATGGAGGACATGGGGTCCAAGGGTGGGAGAGCGTGGGGGCTTTCTCATGGAGGCAGGAAAAGTAACTCTTTCCTTTTCTGTTTCTTTTCCTCTCCACCTCTCCGCTGGATGTTTAGGCCAGAATCACTTCTTGGCCCAAAGAAAACCCGGGCTCCTGGTTCAGTGAATTCAAGCGCGGTAAACTGGTAAGGTGCCTCTCACTTCTGTGCGGTTGTGGCTTTAAACCCGCTCATCTCGTATCTTGCAGAGTAAAATGGCCCGCTGGCCCAAAGAGCAGCCTTCTACCTGGTATAGTCAGTACAAGCGAGGTTCCCTGGTAAGTGGCCACCTTGGCCCAGCCACCTGGCACTGTCTGCTTGCAACACGGCTGGCTCAGGGCTGGCTCACAGCAGGCTCAGGCTGGCTCACGGCTGGCTCAGGCTGGCTCACGGCTCTGCATGGAACTGATTGCCGCCGTGTGCCACACCTGCTCTTGCCTTTTTGGCCAAACTGTTCCATGTCATGTGACCTCAAGATCCAGCATGGGTGTGGAGTCCTGTCCTCCTGCCCCTCTGCCTAAGACTGCATTTCAGTTTAGATTTAGGGCTCCCAGAGCTGGGTGTGAGCCCCAGGCCAGAGCCGACCCACGGCCTGTTGATGGGCCAGCCCCATCATCCTGGGATTTGAGGTCAGGGAGTCCAGGAGAGGGAGGGCTCTCGCCAAGTCCAGCGGGCAGGTGAGAAGAGATGGATCCTGGACCACTCCCACACCATTCATCCCCTCTTCCCGTAGCTCAGGGCCCAGGGGACCTCTGACGGCCACCTGGCCTGGCACCCACATGACTGTGGTACTTGCCTTTTAACAGCTGGGGGTCTAGTCTTACATAATCCACCTCTGAAAGGAAAGGCACTTGTCAACCTTTAAAGAACAAAACCGATGCTTTTGTGGCCGGTGTAGAGACCAAAGCCGGCCGAGACTTGCTAATGTATGCCAGCGGCTGCTTTCACACAGTAGAGATTTTCCCCTGAGCATCGCAGGAGTTGGGTTTGGGCCCTTTTCTGGAATAAGGAGCAAAGTTGTGGGCTCTTCCCCCAGCAAGTTAAAGGATCAAGCTTCCAGAATACAGAGGGTCTACAGATGCCATTTAGAGCCCAGATTTCTCTTGCTGGGACCAGACTGGCCGGCCCTCGAGGGAAGTCCTTTGTTATACAAGAGCCCCCTGAGTTGGGTTATGTGGCCTCCAGCCTGACTATTGATCCTTGGTTGCTGCACCCAGGCAGGCACCAGCCCCAGCCTCTCAGGGACGAGGGGTATAGAGACCATGTCCTCCACTCCACATGCCCACAGGTTCAGAGAGCAGCGGCTTCTGGCCATTTTTGCTCTGTCCATGCCTCTGACACTCACCATCCCTTGACTTGACATGTTGTGGCTGATCCGTAATATCTTATCTCCTTGTCGGCGGTGCCCAAGGCATGTGCTACTTTCCGGAGGACGCAGCCAGTTTGCAGCACGTGCCTGTTAGGGCTTCCTCTCCTGTCGCTGTGCTGTGTCCTCAGGCTCTTGTTCTCCCTTACCTCCGTGTTTCCCCATCTCCCCCTTGCTCGTGCTCCCTCCAAAATGAGCTACAGCACACAGAAGGACCTGAAGTGGACAGCACTCGGGCGGGGGCAATGACCAGGGCCACTTGGCCTGGATGGACACAGGGGATGGGGATGTGGACGCAGGAGCAGGTGGGGAAGGAGCTGGGAGGTAGCAGCGTCCCTTCTGAGCTCCTGCTGGTTACCACCTGCCGCCTCCTCCCCTCATGGTGCTTGGTCTCTAAAGACGGCCTTTCACCCCACCCTCCAAAATGTGAAAATGAAAGATGCCCACTTTCCTCACTCAGAGGAAATGGTTATAAAACACTCACAGCAGGGTGGCGCCTGTGGTTCAGTGAGTAGGGTGCCAGCCCCATATACTGAGGGCGACGGGTTCAAACCCAGCCCCACCAAACTGCAACAAAAAAGCCGGACCCTGTGGCGGGCGCCTGTAGTCCCAGCTACTTGGGAGACTGAGGCAGGAGACTCGCCTAAGCCCAGGAGTTGGAGATTGCTGTGAGCTGTGATTCTACAGCACTCTACCAAGGGCAATAAAGTGAGACTCTGTCTCTAAAAAAAAAAAAAAGAAAAAAAAGACACTCACAGCAACTATCAGCCCAGTGAGTGGCCCTCTGACGATTGTGTCTCAGACAGTGGTGGACATTCAGGGCTGATCCTGGGAAAATACCTGCCAACATTGGGGTCTTCCCACGCCCTCGTCTCTAACTCTGAGACGGATGGCGGTCGCGGCCCCTCCTCAAAGACCAGGCCTGGGCAGGGCAGGGCGGCCACACATGCCACATTCACATAACGCTACAGGGACCCCTCCCGCAGGAGGGCGCAGTCGCACCCTGCAACTCTGGGCTCCCACGTGGCTGGTGGGTGCTGGGGCTTCAGGTCCTTCTTGGCCAGGGCAGTCATACCCTGCCCCGCAGCATGCCCCGCAGCATGCCTCCTCGGGTCAGTCATGTCTCCTCCCAGAAGGAGCTCCGCAGGCCCAAACTGCCGGTTGGTATTCAGCTTTCCTCCTCAAGGTCCACCCGAGGTTACCTTCCCATAACCATGACTGTGGAGTTGCTGATGGTTTGGGGATCCAGTGTGTTCCCATAGCCCTGCTGGGAGTGAGTGGTCTCCCTGGACTTGGCTCTTCCCTTCTGGGCCTGCCTTGTTACATTTATTTAAAAAGCAGGCTACGAAGTGTACTTGCCGCCCTTCTCCCCACTGCCTGGACCCACGGGCTTTGCGACAATATTGATTTCAATTCTTTTCATGTTCAATGCAGGTCTTTTGGGGACAGGGTCTGAAGAAGAACAGTATTGAGGCGGCAGCTGCCCCGATGTGGGAACAGCTGGTCTCGGATGCTGGTGTTTGTCTGCTCCAGTCCCTGATGCTACAGACAGGAGCAGACAACTCAGCCAGGGCTTCCCCACAGAGGGGGCTTTGGGGGCCCGCCTGGGGGGGAGAGAGGCACAGGCCTCATTTTGGGGGCTAAGAAGTGTCCTCATCCCTGGCACTATTGAGTGTTTCAGGAAGCTGGAGGTTGCAAAAAAGATACAAAACTTGAGACTCATCTCTCAGGTCGCCCTGCACCAGCCCCAGTCAAGCTGGATGGCCCAGTGCGGGTACCCAGCTGATGACGCAGGGGAAGCCACTTGAGAGGCAGCACGCCACCTTTCCCTGGTGCCTCCCCTAGACTTGCTGTAGTTGGGGTGACTCTCAGCAGGAGTCACGTCCCCAGAGTCCCCTGTGGCCCCTTCAGCACAGCCAGGCAGCCAATGCAGCCCCTGGCCTCAGACCTGCTCACTGCCCTGGGAGGCCAGCCCTGGAGGCAGCTGTGTTAGACGATGTCCTGTAATCCCTGTGCCTTCAGCCATCATCACAGCCTGCCCTCCTTAGGCCAGCCTTGCTGCCTAGAGGCTGAAGGTCTTGTCCCAGTTGGCCCCAGGGCCCCCCGAGGCCTCAGGCCCTCCTAGCTCTAGCTTCTCATGGCTCCCTGGCAAGCTCGGGAGCTACCAGCACTCAGAAGGTGCTCCCTTGCCCATCCCGGGTACCAGCAGTGGACCTTCCTTTGTTCTCGTAATCTCAGGAGCACTTCATTCACTGGTCATGGGGCACAGCAACGGGACATACCTGGCTCTCTCCACTCGGGCTCACGGTCCAGCTACAGGGACACATGGGGCACTGGGACCCTCAACACAGGAGTCAGGGCTGGCTGGAGGATTTGGGGGTCTAGGGGATCAGGCCAGAGGGTCTACAGGAAGCATAGAGGAGGCCTGGGAGTGGCTGTCTGGGGTGTGACTCTAAAGACAGTAGTGGTGGCAGGGAAGAGCCCTGCGGAGACTCAGGGGCAGAAGGAGGGCACAGGGCTGCCAGGGAGCAGGGAGAAGTATGGTCCAACTCAGGCAGGGTCCCAGAGACTCCATCCTAATCCTGTTTCATGCATTACTGGGGAGTCGAGCCTGGCCTACAGCTTCAGGGCACCCGGCCCAGTGGTTAGGGTGCTGAGTGTGCAGGCTTCAGAGATGAGAGGCCCGTCTTAATGCAAGACATCTTTGAGAATGGTCTCCATTAATTCAACACATACAAACCCAGCAGAGCCCAGAGTGCCATCTGGGAGGAGCATCGGGTGGCACAGGGGAGAGGTCTGTGGGTAGACGTACAGGAAGCACGGCTATTGTGGGTACTGCAGGGGGTGCTGGCCCAGGAGACCATGGCCGCAGTTCACAGAGCAGCAAACCTCTCTCCGCTGGGCAGCTGGCAGAGGGTGCTGGGACCCACCATCCCGTCCTCCCTGAGCTTTCAGCCTGGTAGGGAAGACATGACGGTATGACAGGCCAGGGTGTGGCAGGGCTGCCCTGGAGCAAGTGCAGGAGCTTCTAACCCTTGTGGGCTTCCTGAAAGAGGCACCATGGGCATGAACCCTACAGGATAAGCAGGGGTCACTGGGCCTAGAGGAACAGGTGGATTATTTAAGACCCTGAAGGAAATGAGACGTGGTTCACTTTGCTCCTGGGAGCCAAGACAGCTGCAGTATGCTGGCTCAGGGGTCTGTGGGTGCAGGGGGTTTCCAGTCAGTGTCCTCCAGGAGACGGGGCACAGGTGAAGCCCAGGGCAGTGTGCACATGGGGCTTTGCTGCCCTGTGTGGTGTCCCTGCCCCACTGACCCCTCCCCTTCCGCACAGCTCTCCTATGTGGACGCCGAGGGCAACCCTGTGGGCGTGGTGCAGATGACCTTCCTGCGGCTGCTGAGTGCCTCTGCCCACCAGAACCTCACCTATAACTGCTACCAGTCGGTGGCCTGGCAGGACGCAGCCACAGGCAGCTATGACAAGGCCATCCGCTTCCTGGGCTCCAACGATGAGGAGATGTCGTACGACAACAGCCCCTACATCCGCGCCCTGGTGGACGGCTGCGCGGTGAGTGGCCCACCACGGGGAGGCCACGTGCCCAGGCCTCGTGGGGCCCACTGCTTACCCAGCACAGGCTGTGGAGCGCCTGCTGGAGGGGCAGGGAGGGCCTGGGAGATGCCTTGCCCCCTGGCAGCCCCGGGGTTGTTGGAAGACTTAGAATCCCAGACCAGCATTTCTGGAACCTTCCATAGTGCTGTGGGTTAGGAAGGAAATCTGTGACCTAGCAGGAAACTCTCGGGGCCTGGCTTCCTCACTGTCTCAAACTTGGGACCTCCCTCTCCTTAGCAGCTTTTTTCTGGGAGGGGCCGGGACTAAGACTGGGTTTGCTCCTGAGACCAGGGCCATTCTGGAGAGGCCCTGTAGACCCTGAGAGTGCTGGCAGCACCCACTGTGGTTGCGGTCACCCGCTCTCCTGATACCCGGCACACACGGTTTCCCCCGGGGAGGGCGGCTCTGCCTGAAGGCAGGGGAGCCAAAGCCAACAGGGAGAGAGGCTCGCTCGGCCCATGCGGCCAGTCGGGGCTGGTGCCAGTGTCCACGCCCCACCTCCCCGCCCTCTCTGGGCACCTCTGCGTGCCAGTCCTGCTCTCTGTCCAGAGTGACCGGGCTTACCCCTGCGGAGGCTCTGTGGAGGCTGCCCAGGCTGCTCTCTGCCCCGGGCCATTGCACAGATCTAGGATGTGCCCTTGTGTCCTGGAAATGTGCCCAGGCCTGTGGGAATCCTTGGACGTGTCCCCTTTGTGTGACCTTTGAGAGGCTGGAGGTGGGTCTCTTTCTGACACCAGTCCCCATTCTCACTCCACTTGTTCTTGAGAGGCACAGCACCCCAGGCCAGCTCCCACGGGGACTGAGGTGAGCATGGCTCCACCACGTCCATCTCCCTCTGTGTTCAGGGCCAGCCGGCTGGCCTCTCTCCAAACCAGTAGCTCTTTCGTACCCACAGAGCATCATGGAGTAGTTCTGTGAGCAACACTGGGCCTGGGGAAGTGCGAGAGGTGGTGCAGACTCAGGGCAGGCCTGCCTAGAGCTCCTGAGAGCAGGACTGGTGCCAGGAGGATCCAGGCTCCAGTCCTGACTCCTCCCTGCCCAGCCACAGGGAACACCTGGCCCTCAGCCCTGAGGTGTTCTGCTCCTTTCCCCCTCACCCCTGGGATTAGCTCTGACCACCCCCAAGGACTGCTCCCAGGTGTATAGCTGTACTCTAGACAGGTGGGGAAGCCCAGTCAGCAGGAGCATCTGCACTCCAGGGCTTGGCCTCCCTCTGCCATGCAGCCCTCAAGGATTCATCTGAGTCAGCACTTGGGGGTCTGGTTGTGGTGTGTGCAGAACTCATCCCTGTGTGAGGTCGAGGGACCCAGTTCCCTGAGGAAAGGGGGGTCCCAAACACTAGGGGATCTTACCTCCAGCACCTGTCCCTGTGCTGACACATGCCCCAGGCTGCTTCCTGAGTCCAGATGAGGCCTACCTTCCTCAAATGAGGACAGCAGCAGCACCTGCCTCACAGCTTCTGGGGAGCACATCATGCCTAAAAGAGTTCAGAATTTTATCCAACCCACCACAAGCCCCAGATGAGACCCAGCTCCTGTGACGATTTCTAGACAACGTGGATTCCCAAGTGCAAGGGAGTAAATAAGGAGGTGACAAGAAACCAGGAACCTAGAGAGGAGAGGCAGGGCCTGAGCAGAGAGAGCACCCAATTTGGCTTTGAGCTTCTTGGCTTCCTTGGCAAAAAGGGAAATACTCTGGTTGGCCCAGTGTGTGTCACCTGATAAAGGAATAAAATGGCTTTCTAGAAGAGGATAATGTTCCCTGGAAGGCAATGGAAAGATCCATCTTATGAAGAACCTTGGAAGCTAGAGGGTGACCAGGCCTCCAGCCCCCTGAGCTGGCTCAGATAGGTTCCCATCGCTCTTAAGAACTTCCTGAAAGATTCAGCTTCTTTCATCTCAGTTTCTCTTGAAGCTCCCACCCCTAATCATTCCAACAGCAAAACTAGGAAGTCCCAGAAGTTCTTAGCGACACTGTCTGACCCAGAACCTGCCCTCCAGGCCCTGCCTGCATCCTGGGACTGGGTCCTGCTTGGGTCTTTTTGATCCCACGGCAGACAGCTCCTTCCTTGGGCCCAGCATCACCTGGTGAGGTGGGTGTGCGGCTGGCATTGAGGCTGTGTGGCCACTGGTGTCTCCAGCCTCTGTGTGCCAGATGCCACTGGAAACATGCCCACTTCTGAATGAGAACCCCTGATCTTTCGCTTTAGTTTATAGGTGCAGAGCCCCAGAGAGGTGTATGGACTTACCCCAGGTCCTTTGGGTATGGCAGAGCCGAGGCTCCCAACTCCCATTTCAGCATTCTTCCCACATGAAGAATCCCCTTCCGGGCATAGCTGCCCCTTGAATGCCTCCACTGATAGGGATCTCACCACCTCCTGAGATAGCCCAGGCCTTGGCTGCAAAGTCTCAGTACTAGGAAGCTCTTCTGGGAGCTGAGATAAAGTCCGCTTGTCCGTAACTGCCCCCATCATTGCCTAGCTTTGCTCCCCAAGTCAGGCAGAGGAAGTCTAGTTCTAGGGCAGCGTTTCCCAACCTCAGCAGTCTTCACATTCAAATCCAGGCAATTCTCTGATATGTGGGGCTGTCCTGTGCCTTGTAGGATGTTTACCAGCAACCCTGACCTCTTCCCACTAGATACCAGCCACAGTCCCTGCCCCTAGATACCAGTAGCAGCCCCTGCCCACAGATGCCAGCAGCAGCCCCTGCCCCCAGATGCCAGCAGCAGCCCCTGCCCACAGATGCCAGCAGCAGCCCCTGCCCCCAGATGCCAGCAGTAGCCCCTGCCCACAGATGCCAGCAGCAGCTGCCTGCCCAATTGTCTCCAGACGTTGCCTAGTGTCTTTTAGGGGCAAAATCCACCCCTACCCCCCCCAAGTAGAACCGCAGCTCTGAACAAAGAACGGTCAGAGGTCTGAAGGGGTCTCAGAGGGCTTCCCCTGCTAAGGACCTGAGTACCTGGCCTCTGGGTCTCACCTGTGGTGTCCCGAGAAGCTGGTATGGGAGTGAAGGGTCTCTGTAAGCTGGAAGGAAAGGCACTGGCAGAGGTGTGGAGGTGGGGCAGGGGCATCCATGGGGAGCCGCACTCAGCGAAGCCAGGCTGGACTCGCGGGCCCTCTGCCCACCCGGCCTCTAAGTGTCTGTCATTTAATTATGGGGCTCCTAGGAATGCCTCCCTCGGCCCCTGGGGACCTCCTGGATCCATACTTTAGTGATGGATACTTTAAGGAATTGGGAGTCCATTGCGGGCACCATTTGGCTGGGCAGCCTGATCGGCGGGGCTGCCGGGCCGGCCCTGTGGAGAGGCATGAATCATCCGCAAGAGGGCCAGGAGCCACACCACATAAATCCTGGGGTTTGTGCAGCTTTGTGTGACCTCTGGGGGTTGTTGCTAGCCCATAGTGGTGATTTATGCCTCTGGAATAGCGGGGCTGCATGGTGGCAGGTATTAGATACGTCCCCTCTAAGCACCATGGTCATTGGAGCAGAGGAGCCTTCTTGATGCCGTGCAGTCACTGCCAGCTCGGCACATCTCCCCTGGGTGGGAGAGGCTGCTGCTGCCACCAAGGAAGCCTGTTTGCTCACCCTCCTAGGGCAGGGGATAAGGAGGGCCAGGCCCTGACCTCTGGTCCACTCACTGGCTTGCTGCCCTTTCACCAAGGTCACTTGGCTTCCTGTGGCAGCTCTGCCTCCCCACACGCAGCCCCGGGAAGGCCAGGTCAGACCGAGCTGGGGAGCAGAGGCCAGAGGCTGGGTGCTGAGATAGGTAGAGGTGGTCTCTGGCCCCTCTCTGCTGGCTGGACTGCTGGGCAAGGAGCTAAGTGTCCTCCCAGGACTAGAGGGCATGGTGGCCTTGCGTCTTGGATGTGTCCTGCCCTCTCCTTCCCAGCAGCTGCACAGCTGCAGCTGGCCCCTGCTGTCCTTCTCCCTGGGAATGGAGGGCTGTGACCACCCTCCAAGCAGGCTCGAGGCCACAGTGCCTGGGCTGCCCCTGACACTCAGGGTGGTTTGGATCTGTCATCATGCCTGACGTGCCCTATGATGATATCCTTTGAGACAGAGTCTCTCTAGGGCTAGTTGTGAGCCACATGCATCAGAACTGTCTAAGACACTTTCCAAAACACAGATTCCTGATCCTACGCAAGACCCTCTGACTCGACATCTCTGGTGAGGGGGCCGAGCCAACCAGGCTGCCAGCTCCCTGGAGAACCCATGTTCTTGCTGCTGCTCTAACCCAACTCTAACCCAACTACTCTGAAGTAGTTCCGGCCCAACCCAGGAGTGTCTTTACCCAGGCAGGGGCTCAGGAAGGACCAGGTCTGGGGGAGAGGTCAATAGAATTCGCAGGTGACGTCGAGACTCTGAGAGCTGGTGCCAGGCAGGCAGGCAGGCAGAGCAGATGAGATGCGTTTCATCCTCCTGCCTCCTCCATTAAGGTGGCATCCCCAAGCTGAGGAAACTGAGTCACAAAGAATATGTTGGTTATCTATTGCTTGTAAAAAATTGGTCCTCAATATTTATAAGCTTAAAAAACAAAACAAAACAGGTATTTGTCATTTCACTCAGTTTCCAGGAGTGTCTTAGTTCTTGCCTGGGGTCAGGTCCATGTGGGCGGCCGTGGCAAATAACCACAGACTCTGTAGCTTATAAATCACAGACGTTCACTTCTGACAGTTCTGGAGGCTGGAAGTTTGAGGGCAGGGTCTGGCTGTGGTGCAGAGAGAAGGCCTCTTTCACAAAGGCCTTCATCCTACCTGCCAGGGCTGCACCCTCATAATCATGACCTAATCACCTCCCAGAGGTCCCACCTCCTAACACCATCACCTTGGGGGACACAAACACAAGGCCACAGCAATGGGGGGTGCATCCCTGCGAGACCCTGCCTTCCTCCTCAGCCAGGTGGGTGAACAGCAGCAGAGGCAGAACTGATGTTGAGGTTTCTAGCCTTGGGGTCTGTGCTAGGACCCTCTGCCTGGTGTTTCCTGGAGACACTTGCTGGTTCCATCCTGCTCCTCCCTCTGACAGCTTCTTCTGAGACCCTTACTGGGCCCAGATCTAGCCGGAGTTTTGCATCTTGTCTCTGTCCAGGGCAGCTAAAGCCACCTGTCCAGCACATGTTGGCAGGCAGTGTCCTGTGTGGATAAGGCACGCTTGTCTGAGGACAAGCTGACGGGACGACAGGGCCAGTTCAGTCTCATTCATGAGTGTCCTAAAGGCTCAGAATTGAGTTTGGATGGCTTTGGGGACCAGATAATTTTACATCTTTGTTCCCTGGGAGATGTGGCTTGAGAGGGAGGAGGCCTCTCCCGGTCTTCCATCCTGTCCCATGGGGTTGCTCTGGTCTGAGAAAGCAGTGGGAGCCAACGTGTCCTGTAGGCCTCTCATTTGGTGCTCTGTCCCTGTCACTGTGTGCCTCAGTTTACCCATACTCTGGACCCCTCTGTGTGAGGTCTCCGCCTCGTCCTACACTTGTGAACATGAAGAATCTTCTTTCTTCTTAGCGACCCAGCCTGCCGAGTGCCCAGGGCAGGGCCAGCCTCCCAGTGTGATGAGGGATCATGGGGCCCCACGCTTGGCCTAGGGCTCTGTTGGTGGTATTTTGAAATCCTTCGCTTCCAAGCACAAGCCTGTCATTTTGGTTCTGTGGTGGCCCCACCTGTCTGTAGCAGGTGCCTTGAAGCAGAACATGCTGCCATGAGGTGCCCAGGGGGTAGGGCAGGAAGAGCTGGATGGGCCAAGACCCTGCCCTGTGCCTCCCAGCTGTGCAAGAGTTGGGGTACCTCTCTGTTGCCCATGAGGACTCCTAGGGCAATTGTGGGGATCACCACATGACTTGGCTAGCCACGTTCCCACCAACACTTACCCGAAGGTGAATCCTGCCTGCCTGGGGGTCAAGGCATGGAGGCAGGACACCCTTCAGGGTTTTGGAGCCAGATCGGGGTGATGGGCGAGGGGCAAACCCCAGGAGGCCCCACAGTTCCTAACCGCCGTCCACCTGTCTCCCCCTCTCCCAGACCAAAAAGGGCTATCAGAAGACTGTGCTGGAGATCGACACCCCCAAAGTGGAGCAAGTGCCCATCGTAGACATCATGTTCAATGACTTCGGTGAAGCGTCACAGAAATTTGGATTTGAGGTGGGCCCGGCTTGCTTCCTGGGCTAGGAGCCGCCGAGCCCAGGTCTTCCACGCGCAACCTCGTGACCTCAGCACGTCGTTCGTGAGTGTCCTGAGCACGCTCCGATCCTGGACAGTGAAGGTTTCTTGCTCCCCTCCCACCTGACTTCATCCGTGCCTCGGACCACGCGGTGCTGGACCCCAAGCCCCAAGAGAACAGAGGGAAGAGCCGCACCCCTCCCCGGAGCTGAATCACATGACCTAGCTGCATCACAGCCTCGGGCCACGCCCAGGTCTGTCCACGCCACACGGAGGGCCGGGGCCACACCCTGGCTCCCGAGCTCCCCACTGTCCCGTTCCTCAATAGTTTGCAGGGGGTGGGGGTGGGGCCGCAGTGTTTGGATGTCACTTTTTTGTTTTTAAATTCAACTTGAAGATGTGTATTTCCCCTGACCTTCAAAAGTATTCTGAGGCAAGCCACGTAAAGGTCACCCACCATCACCAAAGCCTCTGTTTTTAACAACCCTCAACACTATCCATTTCGAGGCCAAATGTCATTCCACACGTGCCTTTCCAATGGATTAAAGGTGCTTATGTTTTTGTGAGTTCTAAGTAAATATTTGTATTGTATTGTTATAAATGTTACATGTGCCTGGCGTTCAGTCACGCACGGAAACAGCCTCCATCCCACCGGAGGGACGGGCGGAGGGGGCGAGGCACCAGCGCTGGCTGACAGCCCGGTTCCGATTACAAGTGGGGAGTCTCCCGTCCCTGCCCCGTCAAGAACGTGCAATAAATTGGAGTGTGCCCCGGCAGCAGGACCTCACGCTGCGGCGGCAAAGCAGGTCCCAGCACCCCTTTGAGATAATTGTACCATTAGCTCTAGGGTTTTTTTTTTTAATGGGGAGGAAAAAAGAATTTGAAACTTTGCCTTTTCTTCGTGCACTTAGATGAAAACACAGGCTTAAATTACATTTGATTGCTTCCTTCTTCCATTTTTCTTCCTGCATAGCCTGATGGGAGAATATCCAGGGCAGGGAAACCACATTTTCTATAGATGATAATTAAGTGAAAACTGGTGCTGAATTTTTACACTTCTCTTTTGTGGTGCTATCTGTTTTAAGATCTCCTTGAAGGCAACACTGGGGTACCTGGCTGTGCCTCATTCTCCCTGCTTTCCTCATCCTGGTTACGCCTCCACAGTCTGAGATTTAGCCAAGGACTTTGCAATAAAGGCAGGTCACCCTCCTTCCCACCGGGCACAGGAGCCAAGCGCTGGTTCTCACGGTCTCCAATTATGTTGAGTCCACTCCTGGGGCCTGTGATGATCTGAAAACACACACACAAAATAAAAAGACTCTTCCTGCATTGTGCATGGTGTAACCATAGCAGATTGTGTTCGGTTGCCGAATGTTTCAGGTGCTAATTTCTGTGTTTGTTCCAAGAACAGAATGGAAGCTGCTGGGTTGTCCCACACGCTGTCTCAGCCGGGCTGCCTTCACTGTAGCCTTGGCAGACAGAGAAATGTGCAATGAACTCTGTGAGTCTCTCCAGGGCTGCCAACCGCTCACCTTTCCCATGTTAGCAATTGGAATTTCCATCCGCAAATGTCCCGGACACGGTGGGTTTCACTGCCCTCTGGGAACCTTCTCCCAGCCATTAAGGCGAGGGGCTTCCTTCTGTGGGCAGGAGGACGTGCAGGGGCAGCTGGGAAAGGTGAGCCCCCTACTGTGAAAAGTTGCCCTCGTGCCCTTTCCCCCCACCATGGGAAACGTAGTCTGGGCCCCTGGGAGCCCAGCTCTGGTGCTGTCCACCCCCCCGCCTTGCTGGAATGTGATTCCAGCCTAGGCCATCAAAGCAACCCGGGAGTAACAACGCATCACCAACATGGATTTTCCGAATTTCCCTGGAAAATAAGCCTTGCTCTTGCCAAAGAAAAGTCTGGCTGGGAGAGTCTCTGGAGCCCAGGATGCCAGCATGTGCCAATGACCTTCATCTCTTTAAAAGAAAAGCCATATCTGAGGATTTCATGTGATGCCCTGTGGGTTTGTCTAGGTCATGTGATTCTGTTTGGATTTCTCACCCATCTGATTTGTTTTTCATTCTGTCATTTTCTTCCCCTGTTGGTCCCTTCAAAGTTGTTGTAATTCGTATCGAAGTTCAAAACGTGTCCCGTCCTCCCCAGACCACCTTAGCTACGGTATATTGCAATAAAATTACTTCTTATATTTGCAGAAATTCTTTTGGCGTAATTTTATTTTTTCCTCCCGATATATATATAATTGGACACATATTGGTGAAAAGGAAAAATGGTCAGCAGAAAACTTACGATGAAGATTCTAGGACATTAGGCTCAAATATGTCAAGTGACACCCCGTCCATTTCCTGAAAATACAACAGACATGTCATGAGTTTTAACTGTCATGCCACAGGAAAGGGTATTTCAAAATATTTTAAACCTTGTTAACAGAGGAATAATTGTAATAGTTTTTTCAATAAATCGAGTTTCCTGTTTCCACCGTGAACAGATGTGACTGTCTGTCTTCTTAAGTGTGGCCCAGCCCTGCTCCCGCACTAAGCCCATGTTTAATGCTCACAGTCCCAGGACGCTAGGAGCTCTCAGTGATGGTGGGCACAGAAAGAGGAACCACGGAGCTGCCTCGGCCATCCTCGGGGGAAGCTCTTCCCTCAGAAGTGGTCGAGGCTGGCCATGGACAGCTGTCTTCCCCTGGGAGCAAGTTAGAACTCAACCAGGAGCCAGGCCACGAAGGCTGCTGGGGGCTGGGTGCCCAGGCCACAGGGTATGGGCACTTTCCAACCTGGGTCAGCCATATACAGGGTCAGTCCCTCGTGGCTGGGGGAGGAGGCACATGAGGCTCAACTCAGCCAATGACCTTGCGCACAGGTGACACACACCTGTGACTTCCAGTCTGAAGGATCAGCCCATCCCTGCGTGTCACCTGCCACGTTCCATGGAGCAGCTGCACCGCCCACAGGTGCCCTGAGTGAGGCCCAGGCCAGCCAGGATGGACTTGTAGCATGAGAGGGGGAGCCTGTTGTCTGAAGCCCATGCCGCTGGGGGCTTTTACCACCACTTAACCTAGACCAGAGGTTCTCAAAGCACGAGCCACCTGTTAGGCACACAGATGCCCAAGCCTCACCTGGACCTGAAGAGTTGGGCGTCTTGGGAGGAAGCCTGGTAATCTGCGCTTTAACAAGGCTTCCAGGTGACTGACACAAGTTCAAGACCCTCTGACCTGGTGATTCCAAACCACGTAAGAGTCACCACTGGAAGGGATTACTTTCACATCACAGCAGGAGGGAGGCCTGCAGCACTGCCTGGGTCAGGTGCTGGATGTGGGGCCTATCATCAGGGGACGGATGACTGTGGAGCCCTGATACATGGGAGGCAGAGCATCCTGTAAAACTGCCGTTTGGTAACTGCAGTAGGTGGAAGGCAGATTGCTAACCAGGAACTTGCAGCTCTAAGGAAGAGGCTAGAAGCACAGCCACAGGGCTGGCGGCTGCTCCCGGATGGACTTGGCACCGTGCAGAGATAAGCTCTGGGAAGACCCACCCGGCAGTGGAAGGAAATAGTTCACAAAGTGAGGATTTGCGGGGTTGGAGGAAGCAACTGCTCCCAACATCACCATTCTAAAGATCAAACTGAGACATGCTCTGAGGAACAAATGCTGGTTAAAACTCAGCCACTGTGAATTTGGACAACACGTCCGTACCTTGAGGTCTCGGAGTGGATGAAGGTGGCATCTAATACACCTGTCTGAACTGAGAGAGTGGCTCAGGAGGTGGACACTGACAGGCATCAAAGCCTGATGGGTCTGAGATCCCTGCAGCTGAGTCCAGAGGGGTAGAGACCGGCAGGTGGGTCAAGGAGACAGTCAAGACGAGGCCAGAGGTGCCATGGCACAGACATCAGTGTGCGGAGCAGCTGGAATCACACGGCTGAGGTGCCGTAGCACAGACATTAGTGTGCGGAGCAGCTGGAATCACACGGCTGAGGGGCCGGTCAAGTTCCTGAGAGATGTCCTGCAGACACAGCCTCCAGCAGATGTGGGGAAATCAGTGGCCAGACATACAGTGACCCTCAGAATCCTCACAAGAGGCATGTGGCCAGCAAACTCAGCCCCCCAGGGGGCTGCACCGTCATGGAGTGCCGCTGGTGTGGGTAGGGGAGGCTCCCCCAGGGTGGAGAGAGGAGCCGGCAGGGGCAGCAAGCAGGCTCACACACGTGATCTGCACTTTGATGCCACCACTCAGGCAGAGGCCTCAATCCCAAGGACCCGCTCTTCCTGGGCCAAGCTCCAGGATGGGCTGAGGCTAAGCACGGAGAGCCCTGGGGACAAAGTGGCTCTCATCCTGGGTTACAATGCACCTTCCTCTCTACCTGAGGAAAGCACCATGAACTCAGCCTTTCAAGAGGGCTGGCCAAAGGGGAGAAGAGGAGGGTAGTGACTAAGGTCATACGCTCTTGCATGACGCCCCCGGTGGGGAGACCCTAGAGGGTCTTACAGAGCTCGATCCCTGAACCCTGGCTGAGCAGCTGCCTGCAGGCTGGATTGGAGGGCTCAGCACTGTGCCTGGCACTGGGTGTGTGCTCACGTGTGGGTGTCCTCGGGAACGTGAGCAGAGCCTCTGGACTTGGGCAGAGCCCTCATTGCCCTGTACCCCACCAACCAGTCCCCAGTGACGCATCAGCAGGGGCTCACAGGACCTGAGTGGGCTTTTGGAGACAGGACACCTGGCCCTCACTCAGACAAGGCAGCCCTCCCATCACCTGCAGAAAGTGATGGTGCCAGTGCCCAGGTGAGATTCTGTGTGGAGCCAGACAGGAGGGGTGACAGATGTCTCTTCATTGTCAGCCTTCCCAGAGGGCCCAGTAGGCCGTTTTGTTTTCAGCTGTCACAGAGGGCCGAGTTGGTCTTTGTTGAATCAGGAAAGCATTTGTTCCCACAAAAGAGAAAACAGGTCATTGTTCACCATTGAAGGTGAAATTAATCAAACCTCCAGTATTGGAAAAGACGTCCCTTAGCCCCTTTGTCTTAGCACTAGTGTCCTGTGCTAAGAGTCCTTTGGATGGTTGAGAGGAAGAAGGTGGGAGAGGATTGTGTGAGCACCGGCTTGGCAGGGACAGGGGTGGGGGCTTTGTCAGGAGGCCTCATCCCTACAGAGCTGGGCTCTGGGCTCCAAGCCTGGGGCAAAGGAACCTCTGGGTCCACTAGGGCCTATGGCCTCTAATTGCTGAGGCTGGTCCCAGCTACCTCAAGTAGCTACTTCCATTGGGACCACAGGCTGGACACCTGCGTAGATGGGGAAAGGGGACACCTGCCTGGCTGGGGCCCAGCATAGCTCAGATCCGCTGATTTCTGTCACGGGGAGGGTGGCAGCGACCAGGAGGGCTGGCCACCACTGGGGGAGAGCCGTGTGATTTCTTAGGAGTGGAGGCAGCGGTGCCAGCTCTTGGAAAGAACCCTGGAGGGAGGGAGCATGGCCCCCAGTCTGCCCCCTCGGTCCCCCACACAGCTCTCCCACCACATATTCATTCATTCATGTACTCAGTGGCAGCTCAGTGAGGCCTCTGTGTGCTGGGCGGGGGCAGCAGAGGAAGAACTGTCTGCAGGA